TCTCTCTCTCCCCGTGTCTCTCTCTCCCCGTGTCTCTCTCTCCCCGTGTCTCTCTCTCCCCGTGTCTCTCTCTCCCTGTGTCTCTCCCTGTGTCTGTCTCTCCCCGTGTCTCTCTCTCTCCCCGTGTCTCTCTCTCCCTGTGTCTCTCTCTCTCCCCGTGTCTCTGTCCCCCCGTGTCTCTGTCTCCCCGTGTCTCTGTCTCTCCGTGTCTCTGTCTCCCCGTGTCTCTCTCTCCCCGTGTCTCTCCCCGTGTCTCTCTCTCTCCCCATGTCTCTCTCTCTCCCCGTGTCTCTCTCTCCCCGTGTCTCTCTCTCCCCGTGTCTCTCTCTCCCCGTGTCTCTCTCTCCCCGTGTCTCTCTCTCCCAGGGGCTGCACTGTGTTCTGGACACCGCTCCCTCTGTCGTTGAGCGACTTCACAGAGCTCAGATTTATCCAATCGTCGTCTTCCTCCGCTACAAATCCCACAAGCACGTACGGTGAGTACTAATAGACTCAGCATTGCACCATAGTCTCAACACTGCACCATAGACTCAACACCGCACGATAGACTCAGAACTGCACCATAGACTCAACACTGCACCATAGACTAAGCACTGCACCATAGACTCAACACTGTACCATAGACTCAACACCGCACCATAGACTCAACACTGTACCATAGACTCAACACTGCACATAGACTCAACACTGCACCATAGACTCACCACTACGCCATAGACTCAACACTGCACCATAGACTCAACACTGCACCATAGACTCAACACTGCACCATAGACTCAACACTGCACCATAGACTCAACATTGCACCATAGACTAAGCACTGCACCATAGGCTCAACACCGCACCATCGACTCAACACTGCACCATAGACTCAACACTGCACCATAGACTCAACACTGCCCATAGACTCAACACTGCACCATAGACTTAGCACTGCACCATAGACTCAACACTGCACCATAGACTCAACACTGCACCATAGACTTAGCACTGCACCATAGACTCAACACTGCACCATAGACTCAACACTGCCCATAGACTCAACACTGCACCAGAGACTCAACACTGCACCATAGACTCAACACTGCACCATAGACTCAACACTGCCCATAGACTCAACACTGCACCAGAGACTCAACACTGCACCATAGACTCAACACTGCACCATAGACTCAACACCGCACCATAGACTCAACACCGCACCATAGACTCAACACTGCACCGTTGACTCAACACTGCACCATAGACTCAACACTGCACCATAGACTCAACACTGCCCATAGACTCAACACTGCCCATAGACTCAACACTGCACTAGAGACTCAACACTGCACCATAGACTCAACACCGCACCATAGACTCAACACTGCACCATAGACTCAACACTGCCCATAGACTCAACACTGCACCATAGACTCAACACTGCACCATAGACTCAAGACTGCACCATAGACTCAGCACTGCACCATAGACTCAGCACTGCACCATAGACTCAACACTGCACCATAGACTCAACACTGCACCATAGACTCAACACTGCCCATAGACTCAACACTGCACCATAGACTTAGCACTGCACCATAGACTCAACACTGCACCATAGACTCAACACTGCCCATAGACTCAACACTGCACCAGAGACTCAACACTGCACCATAGACTCAACACCACACCATAGACTCAGCACTGCACCATAGACTCAACACTGCACCATAGACTCAACACTGCACCATAGACTCAACACTGCCCATAGACTCAACACTGCACCAGAGACTCCACACTGCACCATAGACTCAACACTGCACCATAGACTCAACACCGCACCATAGACTCAACACTGCACCATATACTCAACACTGCCCATAGACTCAACACTGCACCATAGACTCAACACTGCACCATAGACTCAACACTGCACCATAGACTCAACACTGCACCATAGAGTCAACACTCCACCATTGACTCAACACTGCACCATAGACTTAGCACTGCACCATAGACTCAACACTGCACCATAGACTCAACACTGCCCATAGACTCAACACTGCCCATAGACTCAACACTGCACCAGAGACTCAACACTGCACCATAGACTCAACACCGCACCATAGACTCAACACTGCACCATAGACTCAACACTGCACCATAGACTCAGCACTGCACCATAGACTCAGTACCGCACTATAGACTTAACACTGCACCATATACTCAACACTGCCCATAGACTCAACACTGCACCATAGACTCAACACTGCACCATAGACTCAACACCGCACCATAGACTCAACACTGCACCATAGACTCAACACCGCACCATAGACTCAACACCGCACCATAGACTCAACACTGCACCATAGACTCAACACTGCACCATAGACTCAACACTGCACCATAGACTCAACACCGCACCATAGACTCAACACCGCACCATAGACTCAACACTGCACCATAGACTCAACACCGCACCATAGACTCAACACCGCACCATAGACTCAACACTGCACCATAGACTCAACACTGCACCATAGACTCAACACTGCACCATAGACTCAACACTGCCCATAGACTCAACACTGCACCATAGACTTAGCACTGCACCATAGACTCAACACTGCACCATAGACTCAACACTGCCCATAGACTCAACACTGCACCAGAGACTCAACACTGCACCATAGACTCAACACCACACCATAGACTCAGCACTGCACCATAGACTCAACACTGCACCATAGACTCAACACTGCACCATAGACTCAACACTGCCCATAGACTCAACACTGCACCATAGACTTAGCACTGCACCATAGACTCAACACTGCACCATAGACTCAACACTGCACCATAGACTTAGCACTGCACCATAGACTCAACACTGCACCATAGACTCAACACTGCCCATAGACTCAACACTGCACCAGAGACTCAACACTGCACCATAGACTCAACACCACACCATAGACTCAACACTGCACCATAGACTCAACACTGCACCATAGACTCAACACTGCACCATAGACTCAACACTGCCCATAGACTCAACACTGCACCAGAGACTCAACACTGCACCATAGACTCAACACTGCACCATAGACTCAACACCGCACCATAGACTCAACACCGCACCATAGACTCAACACTGCACCGTTGACTCAACACTGCACCATAGACTCAACACTGCACCATAGACTCAACACTGCCCATAGACTCAACACTGCCCATAGACTCAACACTGCACTAGAGACTCAACACTGCACCATAGACTCAACACCGCACCATAGACTCAACACTGCACCATAGACTCAACACTGCCCATAGACTCAACACTGCACCATAGACTCAACACTGCACCATAGACTCAACACTGCACCATAGACTCAAGACTGCACCATAGACTCAGCACTGCACCATAGACTCAGCACTGCACCATAGACTCAACACTGCACCATAGACTCAACACTGCACCATAGACTCAACACTGCCCATAGACTCAACACTGCACCATAGACTTAGCACTGCACCATAGACTCAACACTGCACCATAGACTCAACACTGCCCATAGACTCAACACTGCACCAGAGACTCAACACTGCACCATAGACTCAACACTGCACCATAGACTCAGCACTGCACCATAGACTCAACACTGCACCATAGACTCAACACTGCACCATAGACTCAACACTGCCCATAGACTCAACACTGCACCAGAGACTCCACACTGCACCATAGACTCAACACTGCACCATAGACTCAACACCGCACCATAGACTCAACACTGCACCATATACTCAACACTGCCCATAGACTCAACACTGCACCATAGACTCAACACTGCACCATAGACTCAACACTGCACCATAGACTCAACACTGCACCATAGAGTCAACACTCCACCATTGACTCAACACTGCACCATAGACTTAGCACTGCACCATAGACTCAACACTGCACCATAGACTCAACACTGCCCATAGACTCAACACTGCCCATAGACTCAACACTGCACCAGAGACTCAACACTGCACCATAGACTCAACACCGCACCATAGACTCAACACTGCACCATAGACTCAACACTGCACCATAGACTCAGCACTGCACCATAGACTCAATACCGCACTATAGACTTAACACTGCACCATATACTCAACACTGCCCATAGACTCAACACTGCACCATAGACTCAACACTGCACCATAGACTCAACACCGCACCATAGACTCAACACTGCACCATAGACTCAACACCGCACCATAGACTCAACACCGCACCATAGACTCAACACTGCACCATAGACTCAACACTGCACCATAGACTCAACACTGCACCATAGACTCAACACCGCACCATAGACTCAACACCGCACCATAGACTCAACACTGCACCATAGACTCAACACCGCACCATAGACTCAACACCGCACCATAGACTCAACACTGCACCATAGACTCAACACTGCACCATAGACTCAACACTGCACCATAGACTCAACACCGCACCATAGACTCAACACCGCACCATAGACTCAACACTGCACCATAGACTCAACACTGCCCATAGACTCAGCACTGCACCATAGACTGAGCACTGCACCATAGACTCAACACTGCACCATAGACTGAGCACTGCACCATAGACTCAACACTGCACCATAGACTCAACACTGCACCATAGACTCAACACTGCACCATAGACTCAGCACTGCACCATAGACTCAACACTGCACCATAGACTCAACACTGCCCATAGACTCAACACTGCCCATAGACTCAACACTGCACCATAGACTCAACACTGCACCATAGACTCAACACTGCACCATAGACTCAGCACTGCACCATAGACTCAACACTGCACCATAGACTCAACACTACACCATAGACTCAACACTGCACCATAGACTCAACACTGCACCATAGACTCAACACTGCACCATAGACTCAACACTACACCATAGACTCAGCACTGCACCATAGACTCTACACTGCACCATAGACTCAGCACCGCCCAGACACCTCTCACGCTGTCTCTCTCTCTCTAGTGAAGTGAGGGAGGCATCTGCTCCTCACCCCACGCGTGGCGGTGAGCGCGGTGAGCGTGGTGAGCGTGGTGAGCGAGTCAGCCTCAAGCTCTGCAAGGAGCAGTTCGACTGCGGTACTCGCACGGAGCACGAGTTCTCTCGCTTCTTCACAGGTTGCCCTCCTCACCACCAACGCTCACCAACGCTCACTCACCACCAACGCTCATCACCAACGCTCACCAATGCTCACCAACGCTCGCTCACCACCAACGCTCATCACCAACGCTCACCAATGCTCACCAACGCTCGCTCACCACCAACGCTCATCACCACCGCTCACCGCTCACCAAGACACACTCACCATCGCTCACTCACGACCAACGCTCATCACCATCGCTCACTCACGACCAACGCTCACCCACCACCAACGCTCATCACCACCAACGTTCACCACCAACGCTCACCAACGCTCACTCCCCACCAACGCTCACCAACGCTCACTCCCCACCAACGCTCACCAACGCTCACTCACCACCAACGCTCACCGCCATCGCTCACTCACCACCGACGCTCATCACCACCAACGCTCACCAACGCTCACTCACGACCAACGCTCACCACCACCGCTCACCAACGCTCGCTCACCGCCATCGCTCACTCACCACCATCGCTCACTCACCACCAACGCTCACCAACGCTCATCACCAACGCTCACTCACCGCCATCGCTCACTCACCACCAACGCTCACCAACGCTCATCACCAACGCTCACTCACCGCCATCGCTCACTCACGACCAACGCTCACTCACCACCAACGCTCACTCACCACCAATGCTCACCACCAACGCTCACTCACCACCATCGCTCATCACCACCGCTCACTCACCACCAACGCTCACTCACCACCAACGCTCACCATCACTCACTCACCACCAACGCTCACCACCATCGCTCACTCACCACCATCGCTCACTCACCACCGACGCTCACCATCGCTCACTCACCACCAACGCTCACTCACCACCAACGCTCATCATCGCTCACTCACCACCAACGCTCACCACCATCGCTCACTCACCACCATCGCTCACTCACCACCAACGCTCACTCACCACCATCGCTCACTCACCACCAACGCTCACTCACCACCATCGCTCACTCACCACCATCGCTCACTCATCACCACCGCTCACTCACCACCAACGCTCACTCACCACCAACGCTCACCATCGCTCACTCACCACCAACGCTCACCACCATCGCTCACTCACCACCGACGCTCACCATCGCTCACTCACCACCATCGCTCACTCACCACCATCGCTCACTCACCACCAATGCTCACCACCAACGCTCACTCACCACCAATGCTCACCACCATCGCTCACTCACGACCAACGCTCACTCACCACCAACGCTCACTCACCACCAATGCTCACCACCATCGCTCACTCACGACCAACGCTCATCACCATCGCTCACTCACGACCAACGCTCACTCACCACCAACGCTCACCAACGCTCACTCACCACCAACGCTCACCACCATCGCTCACTCACCACCGACGCTCACTCACCACCATCGCTCACTCACCACCATCGCTCACTCATCACCACTGCTCACTCACCACCAACGTTCACTGACCACCAACGCTCACCATCGCTCACTCACCACCAACGCTCACCACCATCGCTCACTCACCACCATCGCTCACTCACCACCGACGCTCACCATCGCTCACTCACCACCAACGCTCACCACCATCGCTCACTCACCACCAACGCTCACTCACCACCATCGCTCACTCACCACCATCGCTCACTCACCACCGACGCTCACTCACCACCATCGCTCACCGCTCGCCAATGCTCACGACGAACGCTCACCAACGCTCACCAATGCTCGCCAACGCTCACTCACCACCAACGCTCACCACCACCGCTCACCGCTCACCAACGCTCACTCACGACCAATGCTCACTCACCACCAACGCTCACCAACGCTCACTCACGACCAACGCTCACTCACCACCAACGCTCACCATCGCTCACTCACCACCAACGCTCACCACCACCGCTCACCGCTCACCAACGCTCACTCACCACCAACGCTCACTCACCACCAACGCTCATCACCATCGCTCACTCACGACCAACGCTCGCCAACTCTCGCTCACCATCTGCGCTCACCACCAATCCTCGCCGCTCACCAAGGCTCACTCACCAACGCTCACTCACTACCAACGCTCACTCCTCACTCACCGACGCTCACTCACCATCAACGCTCGCCACTCATCAACGCTCACTCACGGCCAACGTTCACCACTTATCACTACCAACGCTCACCACTACCACCATCGCTCACCTCACCACCACCAACACTCACCTCACCACCAACACTCACCTCACCACCAACGCTCACCTCACCACCAACGCTCACCACTACGACTATCAACGCTCACCTCTCTCTCCCCATATCTCTCTTCCTGTGTCTCTCTGTCTATCTCTGTCTCTCTCTGTCTCTCTCTCTTCCTCCCCATATATCTCTCTCTCTATCTCCCTCTCTCTCTGTCTCTCTCTGTCTCCCACTCTCCGTGTCTCTCTCTCTCCGTGTCTCTCTCTCACCGTGTCTCTCTCTCCCCGTGTCTCTCTCTCCGTGTCTCTCTCTCTCCGTGTCTCTCTCTCTCCCCGTGTCTCTCTCACCGTGTCTCTCTCTCTCTCCCTCTCTCTCTGTCTCTCTCTCTCTCCCCGTGTCTCTCTCTCCCCGTATCTCTCTCTCCCCGTGTCTCTCTCTCCCCGTGTCTCTCTCTCCCCGAGTCTTTCTCTCTCTCTCCCCGTGTCTTTCTATCTCTCTCCCCGTGTCTCTCTCACCGTGTCTCTCTCTCTCCCCGTGTCTCTCTCTCTCTCCCTATTTCTGTCTCTCTCTCTCCCTCTCTCTCTGTCTCTCTCTCTCCCCGTGTCTCTCTCTCTCCCCGTGTCTCTCTCTCCCCGTCTCTCTCCCCGTGTCTCTCTCTCCCCGTGTCTCTCTCCCCGTGTCTCTCTCTCCCTCTCTCTCTGTCTCTCTCTCCGTGTCTCTCTCCGTGTCTCTCTGTCTTTCTCTCTCTCTCTCCCTCCCTCTCTCTCTGTCTCTCTCTGTCTCTATCTCTCTGTCTCTCTGTGTCTCTCCATCTCTCTCTGTCTCTCTCTCCATGTCTCTCTCTCTGTCTTTCTCTGTGTCTCTCTTTCTCTCTCTCTCTCCATTTCTCTGTGTGTGTGTCTCTCTCTGTCTCTCTCTCTCCATTTCTCTGTGTGTGTCTCTCTCTGTCTCTCTCTCTCCCTCTGTCTCTGTGTGTCTGTAGCCGTGCTACACGGAGCGCCAGTCTCCGTGCTGTGCTCCCAGGTCGATGACCTGGTCACCGAGGAGCAAAGGAAAGTGCTGTGGATCCCAGCGTCAGCCTCCTGAACCACACAATCACACGCTGAGTTTACACTACACACTACACTACACACACTGACTAGACACTACACACTACACTACACACACTACACTACACTAACTAGACACTACTCACTACACTATACTCACTACACTAACTAGACACTACTCACTACACTATACACACTACACTCACTAGACACTACTCACTACACTATACACACTACACACACTACACTACACACACTAACTAGACACTACACTAACTAGACACTACACACTACACTACACACTACACTACACACACTAACTAGACACTACTCACTACACTAACTAGACACTACTCACTACACACTACGCTACACACTACACTACACACTACACTACACTACACACTACACTAACTAGACACTACTCACTGCACTAGACTAACTTGATACTACTCACTACACTACACACACTACTCACTATACTACACACACTACTCACTACACTACACACACTACTCACTACACTACACACACTACACTACACACTACACTACTCACTACACTAACTAGACACTACACACTACACTACACTAACTAGACACTACTCACTACACTACTCACTACACACTACACTAACTACACACTACACTAACTAGACACTACTCACTACACTAACTACACACTACGCAATACACTACACTAACTAGACACTACTCACTACACTAACTAGACACTACACACTATACTACACTACACTACTCACTACACACTACACTAACCAGACACTACTCACTACACTACTCACTACACACTACACTACACACTACACTACACTAATTGACACTACTCACTACACTACACACTACACTACACTAACTAGACACTACACACTACACTACTCACTACACTAACTAGACACTACTCACTACACTACACTACTCACTACACACTACACTAACTAGACACTACTCACTACACTACTCACTACACACTACGCTACACACTACACTACACACTACACTAACTAGACACTACTCACTACACTACACTACTCACTACACACTACACTACACACTACACTAACTAGACACTACTCACTACACTACACACTACACTAACTAGACACTACACACTACACTAACTAGACACTACTCACTACACTAACTAGACACTACACACTACACTACACTAACTAGACACTACTCACTACACTAACTAGACACTACACACTACACTACACTAACTAGACACTACACAATACACTACACTAACTAAACACTACTCACTACACTAACTAGACACTACACACTACACTAACTAGACACTACACACTACACTACACTAACTAGACACTACTCACTACACTAACTAGACACTACACACTACTCACTACACTAACTAGACACTACACACTACACCACACACTACACTACACTAACTAGACACTACACACTACACTACACACTACACTACACTAACTAGACACTACACACTACACTACACACACTACTCACTACACTACACACTACACTACACACTAACTAGACACTACAACAACAACCGCCATTCGCCACTAAGTGGCGGTGACGTCACCACGACGCTTGTGCCAGGCCACTACACACACTACACTACACACACTACACTACACACACTACACTACATACACTACACTACACACACTACACTACACACACACTACACACACTACACTACACACACTACACACACTACACTACACACACTACGCTACACACACTACACTACACACTACACTACACACACTACACTACACACACACACTGACTAAACACTACTCACCACACACTACTCACTACACACTACACTACACACACTACACTACACACTACACTACACACACTACACTACACACTACACTACACACACTACACACACTACACTACACACACTACACTACACACACTACACACACTACACTACACACACTACACTACACACACTACACTGCACACACTACACTGCACACACTACACACACTACACTACACACACTACACTACACACACTGCACACACTACACTACACACACTACACACACTACACTACACACACTACACTACACACACTACACTACACACACTACACTACACACACTGACTAGACACTACACACTACACACAATGACTACACACTACACTATACACTACACACACTCACTATACACTACACACTACACTACACACACTGACTATACAGTACACTACACACTGACTAGACACTACACACTACACTACACTATACACTACACACTACACTACTCACACTGACTAGACACAATACACTACACTACACACACTACACTACACACTACACTACACTACACACACGAACTCACTATACACTACACACACAGACTAAACACTACACACTAAACTACACACACACACTACACTACACACACAGACTAAACACTACACACTAAACTACACACACACTACACTACACACACTCACTATACACTACACACACAGACTAAACACTACACACTAAACTACACACACACACTACACTACACACACACGCTACACACACACACTGACTATACACGACACACTACCCTACACACACTAACTAGACACTACTCACACTCACTATACACTACACACTACACTACACACACGAACTCACTATACACTACACACTACACTACACACACTGACTAAACACTACACACTACACACACACTACACACACTGACTAAACACTATACACTACACACACTACACACACTGACTAAACACTACACTACACACACTGACTATACACTATACACTACACACTACACTACACACACACTACACACACTAACTAAACACTACACTACACACACTGACTATACACTATACACTACACTACACACACTACACACACTGACTATACACTATACACTACACTACACACTACACTACACTGACTATACACTACACACTACACTACACACACTACTCACTACACACACACACTGACTATACACTACACACACTACACACACACACATTTTCTATACACTATACACTACACTACACACACTACACACACTGACTATACACTACACTACACACACTGACTATACACTACACTACACACACTAACTCACTATACACTTCACACTACACTACACACACACAGACACACTGACTATACACTACACACTCCTCACTACACACCACACTACAGCCTACACACTCCTCACTACACACCACACTACAGCCTTACACACTCCTCACTACACACTCACACTACAGCCTTACACACTCCTCACTACACACCACACTACAGCCTACACACTCCTCACTACACACCACACTACAGCCTACACACTCCTCACTACACACTCATACTACAGCCTACACACTCCTTACTACACACTCACACTACAGCCTTACACACTCCTCACTACACACCACACTACAGCTTTACGCACTCCTCACTACACACTCATACTACAGCCTTACACACTCCTCACTACACACTCACACTACAGCCTTACACACTCCTCACTACACACTCACACTACAGCCTTACACACTCCTCACTACACACTCACACTACAGCCTTACACACTCCTCACTAAACACCACACTACTGCCTACACACTCCTCACTACACACTCATACTACAGCCTACACACTCCTCACTACACACTCACACTACAGCCAGCACCACACACAGCCTGTGAACACTACAACAGCCTGGACTACTACAGTCAGCACCACAGCCTGTGAACACGACTACAGCCTGTGACTACTACAGTCAGCACCACAGCGTGTGAACACGACTACAGCCTGAGACTACTACAGCCAGCACCACAGCCTGTGAACACGACTACAGCCTCAGACTACTACAGCCAGCACCACAGCCTGTAAACACGACTACAGCCTGACTACTACAGTCAGCACCACAGCCTGTGAACACTACAACAGCCTGGACTACTACAGTCAGCCACAGACTGTAAATGCTACTACAGCCTGGAATGACAGCACCACAGCCTGTGAACACAACTACAGCCTGAGACTACTACAGCCAGCACCACAGCCTGTGAACACTACTACAGCCTGGGGTGACAGTCAGCGCCACAGCCTGTGAACACAACTACAGCCTGAGACTACTACAGCCAGCACCACAGCCTGTGAACACTACTACAGCCTGGGATGACAGTCAGCGCCACAGGCTTTAGTCGCTACTACAGCCTGAGACTACTACAGCCAGCACCACAGCCTGTGAACACTACTACAGCCTGGGATGACAGTCAGCGCCACAGGCTTTAGTCACTACTACAGCCTGAGACTACTACAGCCAGCACCACAGCCTGTGAACACTACTACAGCCTGGGATGACAGTCAGCGCCACAGGCTTTAGTCGCTACTACAGCCTGAGACTACTACAGCCAGCACCACAGCCTGTGAACACTACTACAGCCTGGGATGACAGTCAGCGCCACAGGCTTTAGTCGCTACTACAGCCTAGGATTACTACGACGGCCCTGAACTCTTGCTGCTGCTGCTGCTGCAGCCTGGATGATGCAAAGCAGGCCCCGACTACAGCCCAAGCTCCAAGTGCGGTGCACGCGGAAAGACCACTGAAGGCGAAGCCACAGTCAGCACTACAGCGCGAGCTACAACCGTGGAACTACAGACTACACTAAACTACGGGCTGAGCTACAGCCGTGGAACTACAGACTACACTAAACTACGGGCTGAGCTACAGCCGTGGAACTACAGACTACACTAAACTACGGGCAGACAACTGTCGGCCGAGCTGCAGAATAAACTACAGGCAGATGACTATCAGCTGAGCGTCGGACTAAACTGAAACTACAGGCGGACATCAACTATCGGCTGAGCTACAAACTAAACTACGGGCGAACAATCTATACATATCGTCCGAGCTACAACCCTTAAAATAGCAATAAGACTAAAGCCTCAACTACAGGCAAAGTGAACTGTGAACTACAGGCGGGGCCCACTGAAGGGCTGCAGGTGATCTACAGCCGTGGGCTACAGTCTGAGCCACAGTCTGATATACAGACTTGAGCTACGCTTTGATCTGCGTGAAGATCACGGACGGGGAATGCAAGCCTGAACTACAGGCAGACCCGGGTGTTGTGAGCTGTGGTCTGGATGGTA